ATGTGTCTCATACAAACTGTAAATTCATTGACAGTAACTATAAAGACTAGATTGAATTCTTGGTAATCTTTTAAAAGTTATTAAACTATGTACACAGTATTAATTTAAGGTGTATAAGATCTATGTTTATTGTGTTTTTTATACCTGTACTTGGGAATTATTGTGTGAAATGTTATGAAGGGATAAAATGACAAAATATTTTAAAATATGTTAAAATTATGTTGGAGTGGAAATGGCTGGAGAAGACAGTCATTGCTACTTTAAAATGGAACAGAAAGAAACTTTAAACTTAAACAGTTTCTCTTCATATTTCTTTATGTATAGATTTTGTATTTAATGGTTGTAACCAATTCCAATTATCATATCTTACCTTTGTTTACATATATAACTGTTTTCATTCAGTGCTGCCTTTTATATGCAAAATCTTTGCATGCCTCAAGCCTTAAAACTCCCACTTACCCACAAACCACGTTGTTTACGTCATCTTCACATGTAAATCATCATAAGTCAACCAATAGGAATGCGACAGAGCCTCCTTACGTGTGTGGCTCCCTCTGTTTGATTCTACCTAACTATCGAAATGAAGTGTATCAGAAGTTTTTACTGTTGGTATCCATTGCGTGGCACACAGATTCAATCTATCACTAAAAGATGCATCAAAAAAGTCAAACTGGTTCCACATATGTCTGGGTTATTGCAAGCTATATACAAATTTTACAATACAGAAAGCTTCACTGAAAGAAACCTGCGAGACATTAAAAAGCAGATTTCTATTTCCAGAAAATGTTTATGGAACAAGTTGGATTAGTCACTGAGCACAAGCATTAAGTTCAGTGATTAAAATGTGGCAACCACTGGTGATACATACAGCTTAAATCATTAAAAAAACTGGAAACAAATGTTCAGTACTTTATCTAAACTAAGGAAAGAACTTACATTACTAATATCAGTATTGGCAATATTTATATTAAGATGTCCGTCAGGAACCAAGGGGTGTCTTTACACTACAATTTGTTGAGTATTAAAAGTAAGTTCAATCTGGAAGTTCCCAAAGGGTGTGATTTTAAATGTATTTTTTCAAGACAACTTTGAGAGAAGTTTTTGTATGTTAACTGATAAATTTTTAAATGAAATACAGCATCATTAAGTCTGCATACTAGCTAGTACTAAGGTCTACCTGCTGGTAGTAAATTCAATAAAGCCATATTTTCAACATCATTAAATAAGCAATTGCCAACCGTTTATGCTTCTGCTATTGCCTTTTTATGTTTAGCATTTAACTGAGATACGAACAATTTCACCTGTGAATCGGTAGGGAAGGTCGAAGCATCACAATAGTCAGCAGTAGGATGAGCAGACAGAAACACTTTGAAAGCAGCTACAAACATAATATTGTATTTGGTTTGCTGCACAATATCTACCAAGGTTGTTCTAAATGGTTTCTTAATACCTCTGCGTGTCATTTGGAGACTTCCATGCTTCTTATGCTTGGCCATTAAGCTCGTGATGCGCTGACAGATTTTAGTCACCTTTTTAGCTAATAAAAAATGTCCAAATATTTTCAGCTCAAATTAAGAAAAACTGAATTGGGTAGTTTTTTTTTTCAACAAAATATGTCTCTCTCTCCCCCCACTGGCTTGTTAAAAGAGATTTTTGAATTGCTCATATACATCATCTTGGCACTGCAGGAAACTTCTTATATTGTGGCATGCATCCAATCTAATATCAAGGCAAACTGAAAACACTAAAGTGGTTCAATGTGAAGCAAAAAGGGAAATCAAACATAGACAGGATTGATCTTACAAATTTAAATTTCTATCTAGAGTCTTTGTTACTAGAAAACAGTTGAAAGTACAATTGACATTTTGGTTCAAAATCTGCACTCTTTTTTTCTTATTCTTTGTCAGGAAGAATTTATTCTATTTAAGAAAGGTTCAAAGATGTGCTTGAAAAATAATTCCATGTGTGTGAGAATGCTCAGAAGATAGTTTTAGATATCTTTGGTCGAGATGAAGTTCAAGCCTTGGCAAAACATGGAGCAAAAAAGGATTTAATCCTGATACATGTATAGTTGAATGGGACCAGTTCAAACATGCCACAGTAAACATGTTGAGGAATGAAAAAGCTAGCTCACAGAACCTACTGAGCAGAGTATTGTTAGCTCAAGAAAGAGATCTAACATTTGTGTTTGTTATGAATTATTCTTGTTCTACATCTAATGATGAAAGATGTTTTTCTGTAATAAAACAGATCAAAGCAGATTGAAGATTCACTCAGTCACCTCATGTTTTATGTTTAAGCTACAGTTAAGAAGTAATGACCTTCCAAGTTCCATTTGAATGCATGCAGTTACAAAAATTGTACTTTTGTTTCATTAAAATTTTAATACATATGAGTCAACCTGTTGTTTATATGAAGTATTATGTTTATCCAACCAATTCCATAACTATTTGTATTTTCAACCTACGATTAAACAGAAACTCCATATCCAATAGATCTACCATTTTATAAAGGAAAATGTATTTAGTGTAAGAGAATTCAATTTTCTAAGTCTATTTCTCACAAGAAAAATTAATTTTTTAGAACATTTCACCCCCTGATATGGTATATGTATTTGGCATAGTGAATGTCTCTGATGCTTTAGTTTCTTACTCCATAAACAAATAAGATTGAAGGTTATATAAGTAAGACTTTACCTAAGTAATTTATGGTAAATTATTATTCTTATTACTTTTATAATACACGCTATAAATCACAGTGATTCACACATTTTACTAGCTGTTACTACTGTTTGTTTCTTTAATTATCTATCTGTATCGCTGGCTTTCTTTGCCAGGCTTATATACTAAAAAAGAGGGTGTCTAGCAAACACTTGGACATTCGCAGGGTTCCCCAATAATTCGAGAAACTCCAGCGCGCATGCTCCCAGCATCACGCGACTTCCACTGTCATAACAATACGTTAAAATTAAGTTAGTGGAAATAGATGTAGAGAAGAGTCATTGTTACTATAAAATGTTACTTTTAACTAGGCAGTTTCTATTATCATTGTAGTACTTTATATATAAACTTTGTGAGGAATGGTTTGTATAAATTAATATTTCAACTTGTGTATAAAATGTGTTGTGATGATTGATTTTACTCAATATTTACACCCTCAAGGTTCTAGGAATTTGGTGGTTGTGAAACCCCTGTTTCTTAATTTTCATGCTGAAACAAATGTTTACACTGTTTGTTGTAGAAGGAATGTTCCCACACTTGATGGGCTGGTGGTAAGGGTGTTTGACTCACAATGTGTGGGCTGGAATTCTTGTCACAGAACATGGTTGTTCTCTCAGCTGTGGGGGTGTATTACTGGTCAATCCCTCTATTTATTAGTAAAATACATTAATACTTTAAAGTTCCTGTTCAAAAGATCTATATTTAAGTTAAATAAATACCAAGACCCCCACATATAAACTCCCTTCATAAATATGTAGTTCTTTTATCAAGTTTTGTTCCTTTTGAATTTCACATACAGCCACAAGAGGGCTATCTATACTATCCATCCATAATTTGACAGTGATAGTCTAGAAAGAAGACAGCTAGTCAACAGCACTCGCTGTCAACTCTTGAGCTACTCAGTCAACATGTTAAGTAGACAAAACATTAGAATATTTTATGATATACAACTAGTTACAATTATGAGACATCTCTTACAATTAATCCAGAAATTACTGTTTGAAAGTAAAGTTGGTTGTTATTATTTTTACATTTAATATTTTGATATTAATGTTTTTGATTGTATTACACTATAAATTCCTTCTATATGATGTCCATGGATTAAACCAGTCTTTTAACCTCAGAGTAATCATCATTTAATATAGTCTATATGTTCATGATACTTATCATGGCAGATGTCTCTGATGTTCTGTTTATGACTCCATAAACAAATAAGATTGAAGGCTGTAAAAATTAGACTTTACCATAGTAATTATAATGAGTAATTATGTTAAATTCTGTACTTCTCAGACAGGTGGTAAATAACTTAGAGAAGAGGGAAAACCTAGAAAACAAATGTCACAATTCTCATACTTGTGGAGATTGAGGATTTTTTAAAACATTTAATTGGAAAATTAAGAATTTAAAACTCAAGTGATTATTTTTGATTTATTAGTCATGTTTTGACGTCTAGTTTGTTGACATCCATTAATAACAAAGTAGTTTAATTAAATGTTGAATGTAATTTCTCTGAAAATATGTAACATACACACTTTGACTTGCGTTTAGTGAGAAGGTTAAAGTTATGAATGTATCGTATATTTTAATTTTAGATATAAGGACCAGTGTGAACATCTGTTGTGGAAGTCGTTTTCCTGAATACCATCTTTTAAATCAAGAAGATCCATTTAAAGAAGTTATGAAATCTTCAAAATTAAACAGTGATGTTTGTAGAAAAACAAATATAAATGGAAGTAACATAAAACAATCTAATATACATGAAGGTGATGATAAACCATACAGCTATGTAACATGTGGGAAGGAAATTGTAACATTGGATAAGGTAAAACAATCTAATATACATGAAGGTGATGATAAACCATACAGTTATGTAACATGTGGAAAGGAAAGTGTAACATTGGATAACGTAAAACAACAGAAGAGAATAAGGTACGGAAAGAAATTGTACAGATGTGAAGTTTGTAGTAAACAATTTAGATTTAATAGTGAATTGAAAAAACATGAACAAATGCATACTGGAGAGAAACCTTACACTTGTGCAGTTTGTGAAAAACATTTTCAAACAAGTAATGTTTTAAAAATACATCAAAGAATACATACTGGGGAGAAACCTTACAGTTGTGATATTTGTGGAAAACAATTTCGAACTAGTGGTAACTTGAAAAGACATGAACAAACACATACAAGGGAGAAACCTTACAGTTGTTCAGTTTGTGGAAAACAGTTTCAAACAAGTAATGGTTTAAAAATACATCAAAGAATACATACTGGGGAGAAATCTTACAGTTGTTTAGTTTGTGAAAAAGACTTTAGAATAAATTGGGAATTAAAAATACATCAAAGAATACACACTGGAGAGAAACCATATTGCTGTGACATTTGTAGAAAACAATTTAGTAGTAACTCTAGCTTAAAAGAACATGAACGAATACATACTGGGGAGAGACCCTACAATTGTGTAGTATGTAATAAACAGTTTAAAACATATAAGGCAATAAAATATCATGAAAGAATACATACTGGGGAGAAACCTTTCTGTTGTACAATTTGTGGAAAGGACTTCAGATCAACTAGTGACTTAAAAATGCATCAAAGAAAACATACTGGGGAGAAACCTTACAGTTGTGATGTTTGTGGAAAACAATTTGGAACTAGTGGTAACTTAAAAAGACATGAACAAACACATACAGGGGAGAAACCTTACAGTTGTGCTGTTTGTGGAAAAAACTTTAGAACAAATGAGGAATTAAAAATACATGAAAGAAGACATACTGAGGAGAGACCATACTGTTGTAAATTTTGTAGAAAGAAATTTAAAACAAATGCTGAATTAAAACAACATCAAAGAATACACAGTGGGGAGAAACCTTACAACTGTATAGTATGTGATAAACAGTTTAGAACAAGTTATGCATTAAAATATCATAAAAAAATACATACTGGGGAGAAACCTTACAGTTGTGACATTTGTGGAAAACAATTTGGAACTAGTGGTAGATTCAAAAGTCATGAACGGATACATGTTGAAGTGAAACCTTACCATTGTGCTGTTTGTGGAAAAGACTTCAAAACAAAATGTGAATTAAAAATACATCAAAGAATACATATTGAAGGGAAGAGTGTGTAGTGTGTAAAAAACAATATAGTTGTAACTAGCTTAAGGAAACGTGAAGAAAGACATAATTTTGTGACACTTGTGTAATATGTGATAAACAGTTTATAACAAATGGTGGATTAAGATATCATAACACATACAGAGAATCTTTACTGCTGTACAGTTAGTGAAAAATAATTCTCAAGTGACTCTATCTTAAAAGTGCATTGAATGATACTCTTACGAAGAGAAACCAGTTTCACAGTTTATGGAAAACAGTTTGGAGCAAACGGTAAAATAAAAATACATTCGAGAATGAACACCTAAGAGAAACTGTACTGTTGTTTACTGCATTGTAAAGAGTTTGTAACAAACTGTAACTACTACTGAATGTAGTTATTGTTTAAAGTTTATTGAACCAGATGAGGCAGGATTAAGGTGTATAGATCTGTCTTTGGTGTTTTTTTGGTAACCTTTGGAGATGTTAGATATGATAAGGTGATAAAATTAAATCTGGATGGAGAGAACAATCATTGTTTCTGTAAAAGGAAATAGTAAGAAACTTTATAACTGAACAGTTTTATTTCCTAGTTTTTTTATGTATAGACAGTAAGTATTGATTAGAACCAGTTTCTTTATATTAATATTTCAACATGTACTGAGAATGTCCTGCTATAATTGATTTCTCAACACTTACAGACCTGTGAATTGTGGGTCATGAATTATCTTGAACTACAATATCAATTTTCCTGTTTTAAAATCATCATACAGTGTCTAGTAAGATGGCTCAGTATTAATAATAGAATAAATAAAATATTAATAAACATTTTGATTTTGCCTAAAGTTTAGTATTTGTAAATATTTAAAATTAGTAAATTAAATTAGTAGTTGAAAGTAATGTTGGTTGTCTACTGTAAACATTTCTGTTGAACAAGAAAAGATAAAGTTGATTGTTGTGATTGTATACCATCATATTTAAAAAGTTGAATTTGTCTACTGTAATCCTTTCTATTGAACAAGATAAGATAAAGTTGATTGTTGTGATTGTATACCATCATATTTAAAAAGCTGAATTTGTCTACTGTAAACCTTTCTATTGAACAAGATAAGATAAAGTTGATTGTTGTGATCCTATACCATCATATTTAAAAAGCTGAATTTGTCTACTGTAAACCTTTCTATTGAACAAGATAAGATAAAGTTGATTGTT